TCCACAGGGGAAGAGGAAAAGCGCAGGCGTGAGAAACGTTGCAGTAATCCAGCTTCTTCGTTTAAGTTCTGTCTTTGGTTAGGGACACTGTGGTTCTCTGAGACATTCCTTGTTGCTCCTACGTTTCTACAGTTGGGCTGTGCTGACTTTCAGTTTCGCAGATCACTGGAAGATGCCACGTAATCTCTCTAAGCCTCAGTCTATCATCTATAAAATGGGTGAAATGCTACCTGCCTTATCCATATCACAAGACTGTTATAGGGATCACTTTTTTTTTTTTTTTTTTTTTTGAGACAGAATTTTGCTCTTGTTGCCCAGGCTGGAGTGCAATGACGCGATCTCAGCTCACCACAATCTCCGCCTCCTGGGTTCAAGCAATTCTCCTTCCTCAGCCTCCCCAGTAGTAGGGATTACAGGCATACACCACCATGTCCAGCCAATTTTGTATTTTTTAGTAGAGATGGGATTCCTCCACGTTGATCAGGCTGGTCTTGAACTCCCAACCTCAGGTGATCGCCCGCCTCGGCCTCCCGAAGTGCTGGGATTACATGTGTGAGCCACTGCGCCCGGCCAGGGATCACATTTTTAAAGCTTTAAGTTAAAGTTCTTGATGAACTATCAAGGTTTAAACACATCTAGGGGATTCATCAGTGTGTTAAAGGGGAGCCCTAAAGTCTGGGGTGAAAACAACCCTGAGGGCAGGTAACTATAAGAAGAGAATGTGCTGGTTTTCCCCTGATGGAGAATAAAAGTGAAAGCTTGAAACTCTAGAGATTAAGAGCAGAACCTGTCCCCTCACCATGAATATCTCATGATCTGTGTTCCCCTAGCCTCCAAGCCCCAGGCCCATCCCCCTGCCATCTCTCAGATCCTTAGAAGTGAGCAGTGAGAATCCACAGGGACAGGAATTGCCACTGTGTGCCAGGCTTGAGCTCCCCCACTGAAACCACTTATGGGACATGAAAGGCCCAACTCCAGGTGAAGGGTGACTCCCAGGGGCTGGCAGGAGAGGGAGGAAAGGGAAAGAGATGCAAGAGGACCAGATACAAAACACAAATCCCAGGGCACTACACCCCCACAGGTCCTTAAAAATCTGGACATCTCTGGAAACATGACTGAAATGGCACGATGCAGACTACATGCATCTTGGAACTGACTGTGGCCGATCCTCCATCTCATGCCTCCACAATTCAGCCTTTCTGGAAATGCTCAGGCTCCTTGTGATACATTAGTCAAAGAGATGTGAGGGTCACAAGGACACCGTCTAGACCTGCATGTCCTGAGATTATAGCACATGCACACAGACTTACACACACACACACGCATGCGCACATACACATACACACACAGAGCCTGGCTCCCATACAGGCAGCACCTCAATGAAACTTGCACATTCCTAAAGTAAACCTGTGTACACAGCAAATAGACGAGGCTGGGAGGCAGTGGAGGGGTGGACTTACCTATGAAAAGACCAAGGAGGAGCAAGCACCATGGTAGAGAATGGGCCACAAAGTGCACCTGCAGAACTACTTGTCACATGGCAGCAGATGATGAACTATGCATGCGTAAATGTCAGCTTACTACCAGTTCCTGTTTTTAGTGTCACCACTTTAATCACGGGTGGTTTATGTGTCACAAGATATGAAGATGAGGGGACACAGAAGAAAGAAGGGTGAGAAACACCTGAACGAGCTACTTAAAAGCCAATGCTGGTGACATCACAGCCTTGCTTTAAACCCCTCAGGGGTCTACCACCCCCACAAGGCTAAAGTTGGGGGTCAAAATCCTTGTGGAGAAGGCCCTTCATGATTGGCTTGTGTCTTGCCAACCTACCTGGCTGCACTCTCTGTCACCAAGTCTCACAGCTTGGACTCCAGTCACCACAGACTGCTTCTAAAGCAGTCCCCTTAGGATTTCTCATTTTTGTAAATGCAGCTCTACTTCCTCAGGCCGTCTTACTGATTGGATTGCCCTAGTGTCTGCCATCTACCTCACCTACCTCACCCTAACACCCTCCTATTGCCCATCTCAAGTCATCACCACCTTGGGAAAGGCCTCCCTAAAGCCCCAGGCTAGGGTGGTGCTAGGACATCCATTCCCTCTTGCTGTTGAACGTCAGGCCTGTGGTTATGGGTCAGGACACTTGTACTACCAGCGTCCAGCCTCCCAGTTCTCAGGCCTTCCAACTCAGGCTGGGACCTACACCATCAGCTTCCCTGGTCCTCCAGCTTGCAGTCACCAGGTCATGAGACCACTCACCCTCCATAATCATGTGAGCCAATTCCTATTAAAAGAGAAAAAAGGAAATATATATGAGAAGATATATTTGTCTTCTCATCTAAGTGTAAAAAGCTTTGAGTTTGTCAAAATTCTATAGTCTTTCATATTCTTCCAATCCGTGGTAGCATATATATACTACAAGTCAATAAAACATTTAAAATAAAGTCCAAAAAAATGCAATTGTGTAAAATGCAAGGTTGTCTTAATTGCACAGTGAATGAAGGGTTGGTTGGGGGATGGTGGTGAAGCAACACAGCTGAGTTTGTGGTTGTGGCTGCCAGACCCAAATCTCAACCCAGGCTGGAGTTTGATGCCACCTGGAGGCAATGCCCAGTTGATGGGGGTGATTTTGGGCCTGTAGCTAGCTGGACTCCCAGGACAGTAGCAGGGATTTCAAAAATTTTCCAGTCAGTCACACCCATTTGCTGGGCTGGTTGAAGGATACTGAGAAGGAAAACACTGGAGATGCTGGAGCCAACATCACTGGATGTTGCTCCCTGATTCCCAATGCTAGTGCCTTTGCCTCCCTGTCCTGATGAGAATATTAGTCCTCCCCATGTGAGGACAGGGCACACTTAACAAATGCATCATACCAAAATTTATATTAATTTAGGTTTTACTATACTTAAATGATAATACTTAAATTGGATTTTGTGTATCACAAGACTGTGTCCTCCTATGGTCACAACTTCAAAGGAGGTCATTTCAGTGTTGTTACTTTCCTAAATCTCAGTTTCCTCATCTCCAAAATGGGGATAATAAGAGTATAATCCAGATAGGGTTTATCTTAGAATTAAAGGAGAAAACATATGTAAAGTTCTAAACACAAAGCCTTACTCATAGTAATTACCCAATAAATGTTAGTGATGATTTTTAGTATTACCAATCTCTCTGAACTCCCTTCTGCCTTTGTCCTCGCCTCCCACGCAGACTGTTCCTGCTCCCATGCTCTGTATCCAGACTCCTTCAATAGATTCCTCACTTGTCTTCTCATCCCCAGGCTCATCCATTCCACCCATTCTCTCTTCACTCTGCAACTCCAGGAAGCTTCCTACTCATACTGTATCCTTGTTGCCTTTAGCTTGCTAACAGGATGCTTTATCTGGCCTCTGGTAACCTCTCCTGACCGTATGTCCTGCAGTTCCCTCTAGACAGCCCATGTTCTGGTCACAGGACCAAGACTAGAGTGAAACAAGACAGGCTCCTATTGCGCAAAATTTAAAGATTTTCGAGATTCTGTCACTTTCAAGATTGTGCAACATCAGATGGTGACCAGCCTCTAAAGATGCTTTCCATGGACAGAAGCCTATTATCCTAATGGTTCCTCTTTCTCTCCCTTCTTCCTTTGATCCCAGACTTCCTGAGTTCAAGTCGTTAATAACTATAAAACTTATAGTAAGCTATTTAACCCCTCTCCACCTCTGTTTTCTCATTTATAGAATGGAGATGATAAAAGATATCTCATAAAACTATTGTAAGATCAAATGAGTGAATATGTTAAAGTGTCAGAAGACGGCCTAGCACTCTGTAAGCTTTCATCGAATATTAGCTAAAACTACACACTCTGCCAGCCTCAAGTTTTCCTACCAAGTCCCCTTAATGTTACAGCCAAAGTAAACCAATGACCTGAAGCCCGAAACACAAACTACAGCATAGCCAGCTATTACACTACTGACAAGAAGAAGGAGGAGAATAAGACAGTTTCCCAAGTCAGGATATAGGGAATCATGCCGTTCTCCAACCTACCTTTTCACCTCAATCACCTCTACATTGTCACATACAATGTCCACCCTCACTGCAGTCTCCCTGATGCCTTTGTCCATATAAAAAGTCCTTCATTGCATGTGACAGAAAGTTAGCACAAACTGCCTTGAGCAAAATAGAAAATGTATTGGGTCACTGTATTAGTTACCTGTTGCTGTGTAACAAATTGCTCCAAACTTCACAGCTAAAAGCAATAAGCATTTTTGATGAAAAATAAAAAATTGAAAAAAATTTTTAAAACCAAGCATTTATTATCTTACAGTTTCTCTGGATAAGGAATCTGGGCATGGCTTAGCTGGGTGCCTCTGGCTTAAGGTACTCACACAGCTAACATCATGGTATCAGCCAGGGTTGCAGTCATTTCAAGGCCCTCCTGGGGAGGATCCACTTCCAGTCTCACTCATGTGATTCTTGGCTGGCCTCAGTCCTAATGGACTGCTGGCCAGAGGAATCAGCTCCTTGCTGGGTGTTGGCCAGGGACCTCCCTCTGTTCTTTGTTTGGAACCCTCTCCCTAAAGTATTTCACAAAATAATACCTGGTAGGGAGACAGAGATAGTGGGAAAGAGAGAGAAGGAAAGAGGGCAAGAGAAAGAGAGAGAGCATATGCACACACATGCTAACCTAAGATGGAAGTGACAGCTTTTTTGTAACCTGATCTCAGAAGTGACATCCCAGCACCTCTGCCACATTCTATTCACTTGAAGCAGGTCACTAAATCCAGGCCACACTCAAGAAGAGGTGATTACACAGAGGCATGAATGCCAGGAGGTAGAGATCTTTAGCAGTCACCTTAAGGAGCCAAATTTAGAACCCGAGTCCCTTGATGTCAAAGCAAGTGATGCTCCACATCAGTCACAAATGAGGCCCTGAATAGACTTGGGACCTTCACCTGCCTGTGCAGATGGGAGGAGTCTGTGGTGTTTCATATAAACAACCCTCCCTCTGAGACACACACACTTACACATACACATGCACACACACACACACACACACGTATACACGTGCGGAAGCTGTGGTAAGTGCATCCTCCTTCAGTCGCAGATCTGAAAATAGATCATCATGGTGGCACCAAAGAGTCACACACAAGACTGGGCTCCTGGGCCTTTCTCCAGTAAGCCACAGAGGAGTCAGCTGCAAATATTCTCTTCTGTTCTATGGACCTCTCTCCTCTTCCTGCTCATGGGTAAGTCCACTTTATGGCCACCACTTCTTGCAACTGGTGTTCTTCTGAAGCGGGTTGCATTCCCTGCCTGGGAGATTCTTTCCTTTTTTTCCTTTTTTTAATGGAGTCTTGCTCTGTCGCCAGGCCGGAGTGAAGTGGCGCAATCTTGGCTCACTGCAACCTCCGCCTCCTGGGTTCAAGCGATTCTCCTACCTCAGCCTCCCGAGTAGCTGGGATTAGAGGCGTGCACCACCATGCCCAGCTAATCTTTGTATTTTTAGTAGAGGTGAGGTTTCACTGTGTTGGCCAGGGTGGTCTTGATCTCTTGACCTCGTGATCCGCCCACCTCAGCCTCCCAAAGTGCTGGGATTACAGGTGTGAGCCCAATTCTTGTTGGTAAAACCAGGAAACTCCTCGCCTTGCCAGAAATTACTCTGCATGTGTACATACTCGTGTACCATGAAGGGGGTGGCATTCTAGCCCTGGTCTCAAATAACTCTGGGCTCAAACTACATTTCTCTCGCCCTCACACTTTCCTAAGAAATGCCAAGTATGTAATGAGTTTGTTCCTTGTATAGTGTGGATAAAACTCACAGAGGGATCCAGGAAAATCCCCTGATGAGAAGCCACCTAGCAATTCCTAGGGATGGAGATAACTTCTGGAGCTTCTTTCTACATATCCTGCCTTGGTTATCACATATGCTGGCTTTATTACTGAGGCTTCACTGGGGACCTGGAGGCGGCTGGGTGACCCTCAGCAAGGTGGTGTCTATCTGGATATCCTTTTGTCCTCAACCTTATTCCTCCCTATCAAGGCCCAACTCCTGGGAAACATCTCTCCGCTGCATGGCCCGGAACCCCACTGTCCAGCAGATAGAGCCAGTCTAGTACCCCAGAGAGGATCTCAGCCACCTGGGACTATAGCAGCTACTGTCCTTCTGTGGTCCCACTTTGTCCAGGGCTTCAGGGATGATGGTGCAGGTAGCACTAGAGATCTGAGAGCAGTGGGAGTTGGCTGTTGGTGCCTGAGGGGAGCTCTAGAAACACTCCTAGATGCAGATATGGGTGAACAAGGAGCCTAGACCTCAGGGCTGAGGTCCAGTCTGACCTCTCTTCACTTTCAATTTTATCTTGGCTCATCAAAAAAACACAGAAAGCAGCAAGGCTGTTTATGTCTACATGCAGCCTTTGGGATATTCCTTGATTGTGTTGAGCAAACCTGAAATAAGCTACATTCAAGGTCATCCAAGCCTCAAATGATCATTGCAGTGAATTTCAAACAGATCGGAGCAAAGAGACATATCCTTCAGTCTGGCTCCACTGATTAGGATGACCTCAAATCTCACTCTTTTGATCTGAAAGGAGGATGCTTTTGTATCTCCGAAGAGTCGTTTCAGGAACTTAAAAGGCAGTCGAGTGAAAAGACCCCTCTCACTTTAGTATCAGGAACATCTAAAATTAAATATTGCTCCATCATTTATTAGTGGTGTGAGCCTCTATTTCTTAAGTGTAATAGTAGAATGCATCACGCAACACTCTTACAGATTGAAGATCTATACACACACACACACACACACACACACATATATATATAGTGGCACATAGTTGGCAGAAGCTATGATTGTTATTATAATAATCAATTACTGTTATATGCATTCTTTGGAAACTATTAAAAAACAGGTGAGTCAAATTCAGTTATTGCAATCTTTGAACACTCTTTTATGATTTATCCTATGGTGCAATTCAAATAAAATGACTGGTACTGGAAAGCTGTCACTGTACTGGGAGCTGCATTGCACTGTTTTCTGCAACAAGATTTGCCCTGTGAGGCCCACATCCTGTCCCCTCCACTGACAGTCTGTGAGGCTTTGTTTATGATTTTTGTCTGATGTAAGAAAATTTGAAGTCAAAACAAGTCATATACACCCAGCCAAAACCCAGCAGCTTCTGGGCTTCCAGGATACAGATGGACAGTACTCCTGGCCTCCCTACTCCAGGGGCGTCATGGACATAGGATCTGGACTCTGTGACTGATCAACCCTGTAATCTCAGGGAAGTGGCTTAAATTCTCTAAATATCAGCTCCTCATCTGTAAAAGGGGGCTAATTACAGTATAGTTATGAGAATTAAATGAAATAAGTTACATAAAGTACCTAATGCACACATAGCAATCGTAAGCAGTGTCTTCCAGAAGAAAAGGGCTCTCTTTCAGAAAACCTCAAACCAGCCTCACATCAACTCAGCTTGAATCTGCCTAAAGAATCCACCTGACCTGACCTTCTCATGTCCAGTATCCCTAGCCCTGCATGCTCCATAGCTGCCTCTCCACAAGGTGCAAGTGCTTGACTGATGGAGGTCTAAGCGGAGAACCCCCATGACCTGCACCAAGCAGCCTCTCTCCTTCCTGTGTCTGCATATTCTGTAACTTCTGGCTTTTCAGAGCTTGTTTCAGGTTTCTTCCACCCCTCCAGGCTATCCTTATGCTCCTTTTTTGTCTCTAACATTTTCTACTTATTTTCCCACCCAGAATTCCTGGTGGAGTCTGGGTCCCAAACCCATTTGATTTGGTCTAGAATTTCCAAAGTTCTCTCCAGAGCCTCAGAAGCCCTGGAATCTGGGAATCCAAGCTGGGGTCACCCACAAGACACCCACAGGGTCCCTACAAGAAAATTAGCTGCCTTGGCCAAATACCAGCTTCCTAGATGTCTTGGTAACAATGTTTATCAGGAATATGATCTTGCCTAAGATGAGGAAATCAGGAACTGTATTGGTACCACCAGCTATTCCCACCCCCAAACCTGGCCAAGCCAAAGTCAATCTGAGATCCCATGGACAATGAAGGGAAAGATAGGGTGAGGTAGAGCTAGGAGAAGTTCCTTTAGTTCCCGACACTGCTATGAGAATTCTCAAACATTCAGAAAAGTTGGAGCATTTACACTGAACATTCATATGCCTACTACCTAGGCTCTAACACAAATGTTTTACTTTGCTTGCTTTATCATTCACCTGTTCATCTAACCATCCCTCTACACACCCATATTTTTAAAAATATGCTCCTTTTTACTTCATTGGCTCTTCACAATTTGCAGCAAACTGCTTTCATTTAATTTTTATCATATCCCTTGAAGAAAGTGGTGCAGGTATGAGCATTTAAATCCTTTAGATAAGTAAACTGATTCACTGAAAAATTCAGAAATGTACCCAAAGTCACAAGGCTAATTCCCCTACTGGAACAGAAACCCAGAAGATCTGTTTCACAGATTGTTGTGGCTACTTTTAAGGGAGACAGTGTTTGGAGAATGGAGGAATTAATGACTTTGCTAGGCAATGGACCTAGAAGAAGGCGGACAACAATCTCATTTCGTTTCTCAGCATCTGACATTTATGCCCAATGTATATTCACAGAGTGAAAGAAAGAAGGCTAGCTCAAGGAGTCTAGCTGCTCCTGCAAGTCCCTTTTCTATCTCTGCAGGACTAAGAGCCTCTGGAAAGGACTCAGCCCCAACAATGGTGTCAGGGATCCTAGGGGGTTCTGTGACTCTCCCCCTAAACATCTCAGTAGACACAGCGATTGAGCATGTCATCTGGATTGGTCCCAAAAAGGCTCTTGCTTTTGCACGTCCCAAAGAAAATGTAACCTTTATGGCCAAAAGCTACTGGGGCCAACTAAACATCGCCAGGGGGAGTTACTCCCTGTCCATCAGCAATCTGACTCTGAATGATGCAGGATCCTACAAAGCCCAGATAAACCAAAGGAATTTTGAAGTCACCACTGAGGAGGAATTCACCCTGTTCATCTATTGTGAGTTCCAGAGAGCTTCTGTGTTTTGATCTTTTCTTTTTTTTTATTTGTGCAAATTTATGGGGTATGCGTGAAATTTTGTTATATGTATATAGTGCATACTGATCAAGTCAGAGTTTTCAGTGTGTCTACTGCCTGAGTACAATACATTCTTGTTAAGTATAGTCACCCTACTCTGCTATCAAAAATTGAATTGATTCTTTCTATCTTACTGTATGTTTGTACCCTTTAACCCACTTCTCTTCATCATCTCCCCACCACCCACTCCCTACACTCACCCTTCTCAGTCTCTGCTATCTATCTTTCCACCATCTACCTCCACATGATCAAAATTTTTAGTACCCACATATAAGTGGGAACATGGCGATATGTGTCTTTTTGTGCCTGGCTTATTTCGCTTAAGATAATGACCTCCAGTTTCAGCCACATTGCTGCAAAAGACATGATTCATTCTTTTTTATGGATTTTTAAGTTGTTTAAATATATTTAGAGGGTACAAGTGTAGATGTATTGCATGCATATATTGCATGCTGAGGAAGTCTGGGCTTTTAGTGCACCCATCACCCAAAGAGTGACCTTTGTACTCAATAGATAATTTTTCAATCCTCACTGCTCTCCCACCCTCCCACCTTTTGTAGTCTCCACTATCCATTAGTCCTACTCTGTATGTCCATGTGTCCTACTCTGTATGTCCATGTGTACCCATTGCTTCCACTTACAGGCGAGAACATGTGGTATTTCACTTTCTGTTTCTGAGTTATTTTAGCTGGATAATGGCCTCCAGTTTCATCCAGGGTGCTGCAAAAGACATGACTTCATTCTTTTATGGCTGATTAGCATTCCATGATGTGTATAAATATATGTATGTATGTGTATACTGCATTTTCTTTATCCATTCTTCCATAAGGGACACATTAATTCTATATCTTTGCTATTGAGAATAGTGCTGCAATAAACATACAAATGCCGGTATTCCTTGCATATATCAATTTCTTTTCTTTGCCTTTGGGTAGATATCCAGTAGTAGTATTACTGGATCAAGTGCTAATTAAATGTTTAGTTTTTTGAGAAATCTTCATATTGTTTTTCATAGTGGCTGTACTAGTTTCCATCCCCACCAAGAGTGTCTAAGAGTTCCCCTTTTCTCCACATCCTGCCAACATGTGGTTAGTGTTTAAATAATAGCCATTCTGACTGGAGTGAGATAATATCTCATTGTGATTTTGATTTGTATTTCTCTGATAATTGGTGATATTGAGCATTTTTTAATACATCTGTTGGTCATGTGTATGTCTTCTTTTGAGAAATATCTATTTATATCCTTTGCCCACTTTTTAATGGAATTATTTGTTTTTTCTTGTTGAGTTATTTGAGTTCCTTGTATATTCTGGATATTAGTTCCCTGTCAGATGAATAGTTTACAAATATTTCTGCCATTCAACAGGTTGTCTCTTCACTCTGTTGATTATTTCTTTTGCTGTGCAAAAGCTTTTTAGTTTAAATCCCGTTTGTCTATTTTTGTTTTTGTTGCCTGTGCTTTTGAGGTCTTAGTCATAAATTATTTGTCCAGACCAATGTCCAGGAGAGTTTTCCCTAGGTTTTCTTGTAGTATTTTTATAGCTTCAGGTCTTACATTTAAGTCTTTAACTGATTTTGAGGAGTTTTTTTTATATGATGAGAAATAGGGGTTCAACTTCATTCTTCTGCATGTGACTATTCAATTTTTCCAGCACCATTTATTGAAAAGGTGTCCGTCCACGTCATCGAGGGTGACCACTGCACGCTCCTGGAGGGCAGCGGCCTGGAGTCCATCATCAGCACCCTGGCTGAGCCACACACGTGTGAGCGTGCGGGAGGGCTAGGCCTGCGCCCCCAACTGCCACTGGAGACCGCTCCGCCATCCCTACCTCACCGCGGCGCAGCGGGGACTGGAAGAGTCCTGCCGATGGAACCCTGCCCTGCCCAGGGCCGCTGCCCCCCAAGGCTGCTAGACGTAGGCGTTAGGCGTATTCCACCCACCCGCTGCCTCCCATGGCACCTCGGGGACACCAGAGCCCAGCTTGGAGACTTCTGGTCTGTGAAGAGCCGGCGACGCCCGCAGGAACCGGGCTGGGCCTTGTGTGCTGTGGGGTTTGCGCTTGGTCTTTCTCCGCTTGTATTTGCATATTTATTGCATTGCTGGTAGAGACCCCCAGGCCTGTCCACCCTGCAAAGACTCCTCGGGCAGCATGCGGGTCCCGCACACTGCACCCATTTCTCCAATGTCCCCTGCAGGCGCGGGTGGCCACCCAGGCCTGCTGGCTGCGGCCCTCTCTCAGCCAGGCCAGGCTCAGCCCACTGTGTGGGAGGTCACCAGCCAGTCCCGAGGAGCCGGGACCCCCGGGATGCAGGCCCACAGTGCCGGGCTGCATCCATGATGCGGAGCTGGCCTCCAGCCCTGCGGACAGCCCAGGGCACCAACTCAGTGTTTGTCAGTGTTTCTTTTTCCAAGAAATGATTCAAATTGCTGCTCGGATTTTTAAATTTACTGTAGCTGTCAGTGTACACGTCTGGATCCCGTTTCATTTTTACACCAATTTGGTAAAAATGCTGCTCTTCTCAGCCTCCCCACAATTAAACTGCACGTGGTCTCTTTAAAAAAAAAAAAAAAAAAAAAAAAAAGCGTCTTTTCTCCCCAAAGTAAGTTTTTGTTGGATTTGTCAAAGATCACTTGGCTGTAAATCTGTGGCTTTATTTCTGTGTTCTCTATTCTGTTCCATTGGTCTATGTGTCTATTTTTATAATACCATGCTGTTTTGGTTACTATAGCCTTATGCTATATATTGAAGTCAAGTAATGTGATGCCTCTAGCTTTGTTCTTTTTGCTTAGCATTGCTTTGACTCTTCAGGCTCTTTTGTGGTTCCGTATATATTTTAGGATTTTTTTTTTCTGGCCAGGTGCAGTGGTTCATACCTGTAATCCCAACACTTTGGGAGGCTGAGGCAGGCAGATCTCTTGAGGTTAGAAGTTCGACACCAGCCTGACTAGCATGGTGAAACCCCATCTCTACTAAAAATACAAAAATTAGCCAGGGGTGGTGATAGGCACCTGTAATCCCAGCTACTTGTGAGTCTGAGGCAGGAGAATCACTTTAATCTGGGAAGCAGAGATTGCAGTGAGCCAAGATCACACCACTGAATGCCAGCCTGAGTGAGAGAGTGAAAACCGTGTCTAAAAAAAATTTTTTTTTAGAAAGAAGGATTGTTTTTTGTAATCTGAGAAGAATAAGGTTGGTATTTTGATACAGATTGCATTGAATCTGTAGATTCTTTGGGCAATATGGTCATTTTAACAATATGGATTCTTCTGATCCATGAGCATGGGATATTTCTCCATTTGTTTGTGTCATCTATGATTTTTTCATCAGTGTTTTGTAGTTTGCCTTGTAGAGATCTTTCACCTCCTTGGTTATATTTATTCCTAGGGTTTTTAATAGCTATTGTAAATGGGATTGACTTCTTTCTTTCTTTCTTGATTAAATCATTATTTGTGTATAGAAACGCTACTAGTTTTTGTACATTGATTTCTGTCCTGCAACTTTACTGAATTCATTTATCAAATCTAAGAGTTTTTTGGTGGAGTCTTTAGGTTTCTCTAGATATAAGATCATATCATCAGGCTGAGCAAGATGGCTTACACCTGTAATCCTAGCACTTTGGGAGACCAAGGCAGGTGGATTGCTTGAGCTCGGAAGTTCAAGACCAGCCTGGACAACATGGAAAAAACCCATCTCTACAAAAAAATACAAAAATTAGCTGGGCATGGTGGCATGTGCCTGTAGTACCAGCTACTCTGGAGGCTGAGGTGGGAGGATTGCTTGAATCCCGGGAGGTTGAGGCTGCAGTGAGTCATGACTATACCACTGCACTACAGCCTGGGTGACAAAATGACACCCTGTCAAAAAAAAAAAAAAATTATACCATCAGCAAAGAGGAACAATTTGTCTTTCTCTTTTCCACTTTGAATGTTTTTTATTTATTTTGCCTGGTTTCTCTGACTAGAACTTTCAGTACTATGTTGAATAAAAGTAGTGAATGGGGTATCCTTATCTTGTTCCAGTTCTTAGAAGAAAGGCTTTCAGCTTTTCCCCATTTGGTACAATATTAATTGTGGAATTGTCATATATGGGCTTTATTATTTTCAGATATATTGCTTCTATGCCTGGTGTGTTGAGAAATTTTTTCGTTAAGGGATTTGGACTGTATCAAGTGCTCTTTCTATGACCATTGAGATGATCATATGGTTTTTGTCCTTCAGTCTATTGATGAGATGTATCACATTTATTGATTTACATATGTTAAACCATCCTTGCATCCCTGGGATAAATCCCACTTGATCATGTATTATCTTTTTGATGTGCTGTTGGATTCTGTTAGCTAGTATTTTGTTGATGATTGTTTCTTCTATGTTCATCGGGGATGTTGGCCTGTAGTTTTCTTTTTGTTATTGTTGCATCCTTGTCTGATTTTGCTATCAGCATGATGCTGGCCTCACAGAATGAGTTAAGGAAAATTCCCCCCACTTTGATTTTTAAGAATAGTTTCAGGAGGATTGATATTAGTTATTCTTTGTATATTTGGTAGAATTTGGCTGTGAATCCATCAGTCTTGGGCTTTTCTCTGTTGGTAGACTTTTTTATTACAGATTAATTTCACTACTTGTCATTGAGGTCTGTTCAGGTTTTCTATTTTTTACTTATTCAGTCTTGTTAGGTTGTATGTTTCTAGAAATTTATCAGTTTTCTCTAGGTTTTTCAGTTTGTTAGAGTATAGTTGTTCATAATAGTCTCTGACGATCTTTTGTATTTCTGTAATATCAGTTGTAATGTCTCCACTTTTTCTGATTTTGTTTATTTGGGTCTTCTCTCTTCTTTTCTTAATTAGCCTAGCTAGCAGTTTATTAATTTTGTCTGTCTTTTCAAAGAGCTAACTTTTTGTTTCATTGATCCTTTGCATTTTTT